GTCACCCCACGGAGGAAACGGCTGCTTATATCTGCGATTTCGTTCTTTCAGTCACTACTCAGAGCTCATGACCGTAGGTGAGGGTTGGGACGTAGATGGACCAGTATTTTCTGACAGTAAATACACTTAAAATCTAAACTAACTTAAAAACCACTTTGAGATCTTTAAGGTGCGACTTTGCGCTGAAAAGAATTGATAATATCCTTTTCACAGTGGTGTAATTCTTCTCCATGTCACTTGTGAGTATGACAAATTTTGACTATGACTTTTATCCTCGCTAAAAGTCAGATAGATGTCGACATTCATCTGTTGCACCAAGCCATTTAGTTTAGCTGACAATCTGAAGCGGAACTAATTTGTCATTAATTCTGGGTAAATTAAGACTTTCTCAGACTCAAAGACATCCCTGAACGAGCAGCCGCGGCAAACCACTCAGCTCCCTTCACTCCGGCAGCAAGTGTTTGTCTGACACTCATCCTCTTCCCTCTTTTATATTCACCACAGGTTGCTTTAAGGTTACCTCACAGACAGATGTTATCTCATTAGTTGTGCACCGAAAGGTAACAAACAAAAAAAAGGTCAACTTGAACTTTGAGTGCAGCAGCGTGGTGAGAAATCCCACCAGAGCACAGTGCTTGATGTTGCGCTGCTGCAGGGTTCAACGTCTCCACTCTTTCACGCTGATTCTGTCATTGATCGTATTTAGAGAGCCTAACGCTACATGCACACCTTGCTCTGCTGGTTAGGTGGAGCATTTTTGTCGATCACTGCCCCTGCAACAGCACAGTGGAGCTGTTTTTGGAAGGAAATTGGACGTGCCCACCCATCAAAACAAGAGAGGAACACCTAGTTCTTACTGGATCCTGGTATCCCTGCCTTTATAACAGAAAGCAGACAGATGTCATGTCCAGAATACAGAGCTTCTTTCGCACAGATTGGTTTTCATGATCAGTAAAATGATGCAATAATTGCAAATGTCAAGTATTGATATGATAAAGGGCAGCAAAGAACCTGATGATAATATATTTTAGAGGAACTGGCTCAGAAAAAAGGCCTTGTTACATCATAATCATCACAGTAATGAACCAACCAAGTCAGTGTTTTTCTTTTGTCTATTCTGTGTCCTATCTTTCATGTTCTACTTCCGGTTGTACAGATGCAATCTCAAGTATGTCTTTCTCGGCGGAGGTAGCCATCACACACTGCTCGCACAGGCAGTGTGGCCCAGGAATAAGAAGTACAACATAATGTAGGAATGCACATGAGCTCCAGTGAGAGACAATAAACAGGAGTAAAGGTTTGGGTGTAAAAATGTGTCTCATGTTTTGTCCATTTAAGTTTATTGTTCTCAATGAGGTCAGCTGCACTGGTTTCTCCGGCCTCTACCAGCACCTCACCCTGTTTCTTTTTGTTCCTTTGTTCTTTCTTTGTCTTTTTTCCTCTCTTCATCTGCCAGTTTCTCCTCTTTGATCTTCATCTTCTTCACCATACTCATCCTCCAACCTCTGAGACTGAGAGCTAATTCACCCTGTTGCTGTTTTGCTCAAATATAATGTATGGAATAATTATTCTCTCCCTCTCCCTTTGATTTATGTTGTTAGAGTTTTACCCTCTGTGTTGGTGTGTGTGTGTGTGTGTGTGTGTGTGTGTGTGTGTGTGTTGCCTACTGCAGCATTAAATAAACCTCAGCGCTTCATAAATAACCCTGTGGGACAGGTGGTAATGGAGGCCATTACACTGACCAACACTTAGACACATATCTGCCAGTGTGAGGCCGTGCCATCCGACCTGCTGCTAATAGGGCCGTTTAAGGAGACCAGAGTTCAACACACACATACAAAAACACACGTGCACTCACACACACACTTGTGCGACACACATATACAACTGTAAACAGATTATTTGAAACTGAACACAGGACACCGACACGCTTCGTTTCACCAGGAAGAACCGCTCTGTTACTTCCGTTCCTCTTCAGGTCCACATTTTGGATCACAACTGTCCACTCACATCAATCACTCTGCTAATAAACCATATATTCACAGTGCTCTGAATTTGGCTGCTGCTCCAACATCACTGCAGCCACTCCACTCCTCCTGACTTAAGTTGGCAACAAGCTCCGATCCCCACAATAACATGACAGAAGGTTGACGTCAAGTCAAAGTAAAACTCAGCACTGGATGAAACAACTTCACAGTTATAACTGTAACTTTTGTTGTAAGGCAGCCATCACAGGTCATCATGTTGCATGAAACACGTCTACAAACTGTCTTTTAAAGCAGCAGAAACCTCTCCACACCTCTACAGATTTAACTCAGGAGGTCTTCCTGATTGTCTTCATCCTGCCTCAGCGGTGCATGTTGGGTAAACAACACCACCTGCTGACCACAGGTGTCATAACAAGACATCTACTTATATTCTATTGAATCTGCAGGTATTATTCTAATATAAATATATAGTATGGAATATTATCATATTCTCTGCCTTACCATATCTTCTATGTTTGAAAGGTGCCAGACAATTGCTTCTTTGTGATTAACAGTCAGCAGTTCATATAATGTGAACATGATACCAAATGTGTTAACAAGCTAATTTGCAGACTCGCTAATTTACACCCAAAGGCCTACTCTATCCTCGAATGACTCCATCAACTCAATCCCTGATGATGTCAGGTGATGTGCTTACAGTTATCACCTGTTCTGTTTTTCCACAAGGTGGAGGTGTAATGATGAGAAAGAGACAGCCTCTGCAGTGTGTTACCCCTTTCCACCAAATCAGCTCTGGTACCTGAACTGGTTTAACCTTGGCAATATATACACCGCTCAAAAAAAATTAAGGAAATACTTAAATCACACATCAGATCTTGACAAACGAATTATTCAAGTTGAAAAGTGTTGCATACTGCTAATACTGGTGTTCTCTGGTGAATGCCAGTCAAGCTGCACGGTGCTGGGCTGTGAGCACAGGTCCCACTAGTGGATGTGGGGCCCTCATGCCACCCTCATGGAGTCTGTTTCTGACAGTGTGGTCAGAAACATGCACACCAGTAGCCTACTGGAGGTCATGTTGTAGGGCTCTGGCAGTGCTCCTCCTGTTCCTCCTCACACAAAGGAGCAGATACAGGTCCTGCTGCTGGGTTGATGCCCTTCTACGGCCCTGTCCAGCTCTCCTTGTGTAACGGCCGGTCTCCTGGTATCTCCTCAATGCTGTTGAGACTGTGCTGGGAGACACAGCACATGTATGGAGGTGCCATCCTGGAGGAGCTGGACTACCTGTGCAACCTGACTGGGCTGCAGGTAGCACCTCATGCTACCAGCAGTGACAAGGACACTAACAGAAGACCAAACTAGAGAAGAATCAGTCAGGAATGATAAGGAGAGAGCAACTGTCTGTGGACACCACATGTAAAACCATTCCCTTTTTGGGGGTTGTCTTGCTTTTGACTCTCCATTTCATTTGCACCAAAGCAGCTGAAACTGATTCACAATCACTTGTGCTTCCTGAATGGACATATTGATGTCCCTGAAACTTAACTGACTTGGTGTTAGACTGTGACCATTAAGTGTTCCTTTGATTTCTTTTTGAGCAGGGTATATCTAGTGAACCAGCCTGTGTTTTCACCAATTTTGCATGGATCCACTGTGATCGAGGATGTCTCATTCATGGAGTGCATTGCACAATCCACAACGAAAGTAAACAATAGCATCAAACTTTTGTTCTTTTGGGCAGACATTTGTTTTTACCCACTTTAGCTCACTTGCCTTCTCCATACTCTTTTTCAAACCTGTGCAATATGACACACCCACTGATGTTGTCAAGGTTCGCACTTCAGGTCAAGGAAACCCTGCTATGTTGGGAGAGACGCACCCTGGAAGAATCGTACTCAGATGTCTGAATAATTTTTAATGATTCTTTTTAATGTAGAGGAGCCATGACTCTTAACTCCTTTCGAGTGTCCAACCTCCTCACCTCGTCTCTAAGGGTCCTTTAAGGGTCTCAAAAACCTTTCACCCTTCAAAGGAGAAACAGCTGCGTGTATCTGCAAACTCATTCTTATTTCACTCAGGTTCAGCCTGCTCCGCCCTCTGCTTCACTCTGACTCTAATAAACAACATTATGGTGGCGACCACTTACACAACTACAAGCTGCGATGGGAAACTTCTCAGTGACATCAACATGTCTGATACTTTTACAGTCTGGAGGTTTAGAACGGCAAAATCATAAACAAGTGTTCTTAGAGTCGCTGACAGTACTAATGAAACATCGTCACAGTACAGTGCAGCAAAATGTTTCCTGTGTTCCCAAACAGCATGTGAGCACAGAGAAAAACAGGAAGAGCTATTAAAGAGGACTGATAAGATGTATTTTAAATAACACAAACACACACACACACACACACACACAGAGGGGGTTATGCAAGTACTGCATATGTGTGTGTGTGTGTTTGTGCACATCAGTGTGTCGCAGTGTGACAGTGAACATCAATCTGTGCAGTGCTGGTGATGCCCAAAGCCCTGGCTGGGGTTGAAGATGATTCTACTATCAATCAAGCTGTGTGTGTGTGTGTGTGTGTGTGTGTGTGTGTGTGTGTGTGTGTGGGTGTGCATGTGTGTGTGTGTGTGTGTGTATCCAGTGTCTTAATCGCTTGCCCTGTTTCTCCTTCTCTGTCCGGATCAATACCATGGTTTCAACACTATACACAAAACACCATCAATCTCTCTCTTTCTCTTTCCTCAACCACACACACACACACACACTGCTGACAGTGTTGCGGGAAGACAAGGTCAGGGCGCAGTCTCCTAACGTTTATAGAGATCTCATCAGTGTGTGTGTGTTGGTGTAGTAAGGAAATCACTGTGGAATTTAAAGACGTTAAACATGTTGTCATAAGGTAGAATTTTCCTTCAGTAACAGTTTTAAAACCTGAATGAAAGGATTGACAGACAAGAGGGCGGCCGTTTCCTCTTGGCTCTGTCTAAACAAAGGATTGTCCTCCCCACCTTGTTCCTCTCGAACAGCTCCGTCTGGATGGCCTTGAGGTCGGTGTCGAGTGCGGAGGCGGCCTGCCGGCGTTTCTTGGCCAGTTGCTCTTCCAGGTCTTCAGCCTGAGCTCTCAGTTTCTTGTTGTCCCTCTCCAGGGCCAGTTTCTCCGTTTCCAAGCGCTCCCTGCGCCCCCACTCTGCAGCATTCTCCACCTGCAGCCTCTCCATCTGACGGAGACACGGATAAAGACGGGGCAGAGAGGAAGAGAGGGTGAGGACTCTGAAATGATAACTGTATTTTAGGTGAACCAATCAGCACTGCAATGTGTTTGCAACTGCACTGAAAAGTAATTTTGCTGTTGAAAGTCAAAACTGAAGCACTCTGACCAAGCAGCAACCTCCTCACCTCAGCTCGTAGTTCAGCCAGTTTCTTGTCCATACTGGTTCGGGCACCCAGTTCGTCCTCCAAGTCTTCAGATATGCGGCCCAGTTCATCCTGATGCATTTCCTTCAGCAGGTTCAGCTGGATGGTGTTAGGGAGAGGGGGAAAGACAAACGGTCAAAGGGTTGAGTTTTACTTTGGCCTTCATAACCTCTGCGAAAAAGGTCAAAAAGGTTTTCAGTTTGGTTTATTTGTCTGTTTGTGAGCAGGATTACGGAAAAGCTACTGGCTTTATGAAATCTGGTGGAAGGGTTTAGCTTGAGCAAAATAAGGGAACTCATTAAAATTTGGAACAGGAGGAAGGGAATTCTAGAGTTTCGGGGCAGTGATAGAGAAAGCCCTGTCCACATAACACTCAGTCCTGAATCTCGGGACAGACAGATGTCTTTGGTCAGATGATGTCAGTTCTCTTACAGTGTGATACGGTGAGAGGAGCTCTATGATGTAGATGATGAAGACGGGGCGAGGCCGTTTAACACTTTCTAGACAAACATCAGAATCTTAAAATGTATTCTGTTGCTGACGGGCAGCCAGTGTAGGGAGGACTGTAGGAGGGTGTAGGATTTCATGGAATCTAGCTGTAAGGATTGCAGACTGCAACCAACTGAAACTTCCTCCATGCGCCAAGCGTGAACTCCTGGTTAGGATTCCTTTAGTGTTCATTGTTCAGGCGATTTTTACCAGGAGTCGAATTATCCACGGAGCTCTCGTCCTCTCCAAACCAAACAAACTAGGTGATTTAAACCAGTGAAAACACGGAATAAAGCAGTTTCACATTACAAATCAGTGTTTCTCTCGTACTTCTTGCTTGTCCCAGACGGGCAGCCAAACCTTTGTGCTCATCTCTTTTCTCTGGTAACTTAAGATGTGCAGGAGGTTTTTACCAGGAGCTGAATTATTTGCAGAGGTCTCTTCCTCTTCAAAACAAACTGACTTGCTGATTTAAACCAATAAAACACTGAATAAAGCAGTTTCACGGTAAAAAACATGCCAGCCAGTGTTTGGTTTTTCCATTCTGAGCTACTAAATGTAAAAATATTGGGGTGCAAAATGGCGGACTCTAATGGAGATATAAACGGCTCATTCTAGGGTAACGAAAACACGATGATTCTTATTTTCTGGTGATTATACACTAAAGAAAACATACATATTATAATACATTTCCGCCAATATAAGAAGATTCAAGATTGCAAGATTCTACATTTGGCCTTGTCGGAGGTCTGTGCTCTCAGAGTGCCTGTACATGTTAATGTTTTTGAGAAACCCAGCAAACACTGAACAATTAAAGATTCTCCTTCCTTTTACTTCTTCTGTTTTAAAGGTGCAACTCTACAAATGACAGCTGACGATGAGTGCTGGAGAAAAGGTAGGAGGATCCGCGTTCATACCCTTCGGAGTACATTAGATGCTGCTCATTAAATGAACAGACCAGATGATTGATGTATGTTTTAAGACCTATTAGGTAAACTGACAGGTCATATTACAACAGTGAAGGGCAGGCCAATATTAATACAAGCTGGAAATGAGAGCTGAGAGTGAACCAGTGGTCCTGTGACCAAACATGTACTTTACTTTCACATTTTTTGCACTTTGTCATCGTTTAAATATGAAATAAGTCATCCTTTTTGCATTTGGCAGTTTTTTCCCTTTTCTACGGGGGTGTTTACCCTGCAAAATGCACTTAAATTTTCTTCCTTAAAAGCCAAAATTCAAGTGTGCAAACCTTTTCACATGGCATGCCAAAGTTCTACATTAGTTCTCAGTACTGACGTTTCAAAGTGTCACTTAAGTCATGCTCTGACGAACAGATAAGACATCAGCACAAATAAAAAAACAAAAATACAAAATTCCATCATTCAATATCTCAGCAGCAGCCCTCCTCCAAACTTTGCAATAGCTTGACATTTAGTGTTATCTGTTTGTAAGTAAAGACACTCCCGCTCCGTTCTAAAAGGTGGCCATTTCTGGAGCCAAACATCATCTGTGATCTTGAAGTATCTGGGACAACAAGCGTGGAGATAAGGATGACCCCACCTCCTCCTCCATCCCCTCTTATCCCTCCTTGTTCTTATCCGATTGTTGCATCTCAGCCTGTGTCTCATCTGCCTGCTCTCCACCTTCAGCACTTCACCCTATCCTGCTTTCATCTCCATCTTATCTTCAAAACACCCATCTACACATCTCTCATATTTTCTGACCTGTCCCCTCCTTTCTTTGCCTTTGCTGGTTTTTATCAAACTGATGTTGTCATTCAGTGAAGCTCTCCGTAAGACCTGTGTTTGCTGTGTGCTTTTCTTTCCAGCGTCTCTCCTCTCTGCAGGCCTGGACTGCCCCCGAGTGGTGGAACGCTGCCAAGACATAAACCCTGTTCCTGTCCAGAGGCCATAAGCCATGAGGCCCTTAATCTACTGTATGTGTGCCACTCTGGTTATCTGACACGCAGGAATGTAACAGTGCATTGAGACATTTTCAGAATATATGAAGATCTTATCAAAGCACCAGGAGAAGAAATAGAAGGGGGATGTATTTCTGTCCATGTGCAGCATGTCAAAGCATTATTTTTCAATACTTTGTCATAGAACTACAGATGTATTTTGCTATCCTACTGTATAAAATAATAATAATAATTACATATCTTTCTACATGCTACTGTTTTCTGTTTCGTCATATTCATAAGTTACTGTTTGATTCTCATTCTTTAGCCCACATCCTTGATATCAGATTTGATTCTGTGATCCATCCATCTATTATCTGCAACTGCTTATCCTGTTCAGGGGTGCTGAAGTCAACCCAAGGAACACTGGGTGAGAGACAAGGCGCAACCTGGACAGGTCGATAGTCCATCACAGGGCTGACACATAAGCTCTGTTTCCACCAGAAAGTGCGGTTCAGTTCAGTTCAGTACGCATTTTTTCTGTTTCCACTGTGAAAAGTTGTACCAACTGAACCGTTGTGTACCGTCCCCATGTTTGGTCCCCCCTCTGTTGGGGTACCTAGCACACAGATCTGGTACTAAAAGGTGGAGCTGTGAACACTGATTGGTCAATAGAGGATGGTCACTCTGCTCAGGACTGAGTTGTGGCTGGTTTTGTAACCACTGTTCATACTGTGGAGTGTTTAACTTACATTAGTAAATTCTAACTATAAAATGAAAGGATGTTTTGCTGCCTCTCACAGCAGCTGGAGTCTGAGAAAAATAATTCATTGGGTCGATTGCCACCAACTTTTAAGGTGGAACTTTTACTTGCAATGATACTAAACGCAAGAGTTGACAACATGAATCCATCATCACACCTTAAATTTCACTGTGACAACTTTGACCATCACTCTAGTTTTTATTGTCTCTCTTGGATGACAGACACTTTTAGTAATGAGCTGATCTTCAAGCGTTAAAAAATATATATCGATTTAGACCTGATTCTGTAAACTGCATACATGCTAATCCTCGCTTGGAGAAAAAAAGTGTGGCAGAGCGTCGTTCCTGCGGGCTACAGCAACACTAAACCCCTGAGTTTGCCTGAGAAGGACTAAATGCACAAATCTGCTATGTTTAAATATCCCATGGAGAGAGACTCTCACTGCAGCCTGTTCTATCAGTGCCACCAATATTTAAAAGTACTGTTTGTGGTGGAAACGCTAAGGTCTACGTACCATGTCTGAGGGGTTGTTTTTGGTTCCAAAGGTACCATACAAAAGTGTTTGGTGGAAATGGGGCTATAGGCTAAGTTCACATTACAAACAAAATATGGCAAAAATATGATTTTTTTTGCTCTTATGTGACACAGATATGATTTTGTCATAACAGTGTGGAAGCAGACTTTTTTTTCCCAATCAGATCTGGGTCACTTTCATATGTGGTCCTAAATCTGATACATACGCGATCACTGGCCATGTGAACGCTTTGAGAACAATCAAAATTCATGTGCCTTGTTCCCAAGATATCCATGTTTCGACGTCATACTTCACTGTGCAGGTGCAGATCACTTATACAGTGTTGGAGCAGTCCACTGAAACTACAGAAGGCTGCTGTGACCGTTCTGCTGCTGTGGTAAGCTGCTCCAGACGTCAGCCAAAAGAGCCCGCTTGCCAGACACTTTCTGGAGGGGACAGCATGGCTACATGCTGTGACAGCGCTGTCATGAAGAGCTGACAGAGTTACTGGACTGTAGCCACAGATACCCTCAAGTTTTGGAGGAATGTTTCTCCATAAAACCCTCCACACTGCAGCCCCCCACTCCTGACTCCTCTCTCACACCTCTCTCTCCACAGACCTACAGTGGAACCTGTTTATAGTGATCACATCTGTCCAGATGGTCAAACTGATCACTACGAGCGGTTTACACTGAACCAGCAATAGCTGTTAATAAAGCTGGTGGACAGAAAGCCTATTTCTACGACAGCCAGTTATCCTGAAAAGAACCATGGTTCTGAAGGGCCATTTCTCTGAAAATATGCAACACACTCTCCGAGACAGAAGCACACAGCTTGTTACTGTTATCCACAGTGATGTCAGACCTTCCTACTATGGTGATTATTCGGGAGATGAAGCTTTTAGCGCTATGTCATTCATTTTTTTGTCCAAATTAAATTTTAACTCAATTCAATTTTATTTATAAAGCCCAACATCACAGATCACAATTTGCCTCAGAGGGCTTTACAGCATACGACATCCCTCTGTCCTTGTCATCATCAGCCCCAAATCTCTCATCAAATCTACCCATAACCTCTCCAGCGATGGCTCCACTGTGCTCACCTCCTCCCATGTCCCTAATCTTGGTGTCATCTTTGATCAAACCCTCTCCTTTGACCAACACATCAAACACATCACCACCACAGCCTCCTCCCGTCTCAGAAACATGGCCCACCTCCGTCTATCCCTCTCCTTCTCAGCTGCAGAGATTCTTATTCATGCATTCATCACTTCCAGACTGGAGTACTGCAACAGTCTCCTCTACGGTACGTCATACAGAACTCTCAAGACACTACAACATATCCAGAACTCTGCTGCTCGTCTTCTAACACACTCCGCGACCACTTCACCTCCTTCAAAAGGTTATGAGGGATCATAACCTCCACTGGCTCCACATCCCCCTGCGTATCCACTTCAAACTCCTACTCATCACCTGTAAAGCCCTCCACAACCTGGCTCTCTCCTTCCTGTCTGAGCTCCTCCACCAGCCCAATCCTTCCCACACTCTCAGGTCTGCTGATGCCAACCTCCAGTCCACCCCCCCACCAGGACCAACCACCACACCTGAGGGGACAGGGCCTTCTCTATTGCTGCTCCCACCCTTTGAAGCTCACTCCCAGAGACATCAGAGACTCCCTTCACTCTCCATCTTCAAGAAATCTCACCTCTTCACAAAATAGAACCGGAGTCCAATTACATCATTCCTAGCTACAGTACTCAGGCGGCCGGGCCTGCTTTAGGCACTCTAATTTTTTCAAAGTAAACGCTTCTGACCCCACGGGTCACTCAGCTAAGAGCATCGAGCAGGCATCGAGAGGCAGGGGCTGGGACAGACAGTACCTCGCCTTGTGACGGACCATCAGCTCAATCCTGAGATCCAACTACGAGCTTGTTGACTGCAGCAACTTTAAGATACGCTATTGGAGCTGGAATTGCCACGGCTGCTGGCACCAGACTTGACCTCCAATTGATCCTCGTTGCAGGATTTAAAGTGTACTCATTCCAATTACAGGGCCTCAAAAGAGGCATCACTGCCTCCCCGAGTCGTGAGTGGGTGATTTGCACGCCTGCTGCCTTTCTCGGATGTGGTGGCCATTTCTCAAGCTTGCTCTCCAGAATCAAAACCTCATACCCTGTTACCCATGGTCACCATGGTAGGCACAGAGAGTACCACTGCCTACAGCGTCTAAAAACTGTTTTCTTCTCCCTCTCTGCATTGTTTCCCTTCTTTTGGATTATTTCATCTTTGTATTGTTTTTTTTTCTTCTTTGTTTTATTGTTGTTGTTCTTTGTAAAGCATCTTTGAGCATCCAGAAAACTGCTATATAAATATGATGTTATTAGAGAGATGCACAGCAAACAGTCATGACCATCGCTACAATAAAACTGCCTGTTCGCAAATGTGACATTTTTATTGTTGTTCCAATGCTTGTGTGTGACATTATTGGTCGCATGTGAGGAATATAAGAGCCGAGATCCATTCACCATTGAGTTAAATCAAGGCCCAAGATACCATCTGAGAATTCACATAAGTCTTATCTTGCATATATCATTGATTTCTTACCTGTTTGAGGGCCTCCTGTTTGGTCTTGCTGAGCTCCTCATATTTAAATTTCCACTGAGTGAGTTCAGCCTCCAGCCTCTCGATGCTCTTACTCAGTGCAAGCTTGTCTCTGGGGAAGCACAGAAACACAACACACATTTTTCAACACTCAAACATACAGCAACGTAAAATAAATGTATTTTTCACATTTTAAATCTCCACATTAAGAATCCCTGTGCAGCTCACAACAAAAACAAGGACTGTCTATCCCTGAAATCACGAGTGAAATGTCAGTCACACCATCGACAGCCTGCACTTATGATTGTGAAACATTACACTGCATGCGTGTTGGGCTCTGTCATTAAAAATCAATGCTGCACATTCACAAACACATGCACCTGTAACCAGCTATACATGGAAAGAGTTTTTGTATTTCCCAGCCAGAGGAAGAGGTTAGCAGTTAGCAGTGATTGTGGTCAATGACCCATCCATCACCTCTTTTACCACAGCTACCGCACATTTGTCAAGTCCCACATTTCACCCATGACACTCATACTTCAGTGCTCTGCCGGCATCTTGTGGCTGTAAATGAAAACATCTCACACAGAAAATAAAAAGTGGAGGATGCACTGTTTGCCTTCAGCTGCTGCACTCCTGACACGGCTGTCAGCAGAGGTGGTCATCACACTGACTGGGTGCAGAATAAGCAGAATGGTCTGCTGTGGTTATAGGTCAGACTGGTCTTTACAGGTTGGCAGGTGTGCCAAAACCTCTTAACAAGGCCATAAAGGAGACAAAACTATGGGTGCAAAACCATACAGTATATACTGAACATCTGTGAGCAGAAAATGAAATAGTTTGGAAGAAGGTTTTTTAGTCATATGTGAGTCTAATCTTTGAGCATAGGTCACCAATATCTTTTGAACAGTAGTGAAAGTAGAACTCAGATCTTAAAAACACTCCATTGCAAGTCCTGTATTTTTGTTTAAAGGTGTACTTAAGCAATATAGTGTTGCACTTTTATTAAATTTGTGCACTCAGAAGGGACGGACTTCAAGAGTAATGTTAAAAATTGACATGTATTTACATATATTATATCGTGTTCATCAAGTTGGACAAACTGGATTTTTTCCTGCTGCAACATTTACAACTGTTATCATGTCACACTTCACACTACAACCTCAACAGTTTGTAATGTTCTGTCTCTTACTCTCTTTCTTTCAGCAGGACTTTCTGGGACTCGTCCAGACGAAGCTGCAGGGCGTTGAGTTTGCTGTTATCCTCCTCCACCGTGCTAATGTCCTCCCACAGCTGCCTGTTGCGTTCCTGCCGGCTCAGACCGGAGGATGAGCGTGAGGTGGACGCGTTGACACTGCTTCGACTTTCCCAGGCCTCCTGAGAATCACCGTCCAGAGACCTGGAGCGCAGGGCCGACTCCAGCGCCTCCAATTCCTGACAGAGCAAGAGACGGAGACAGGGAGGAGAAAATGAGACCAGGGTATCAGTTTGTTACTTCACACTGGCGTATTACTGAAACTCAGATATCATTGTGATGTCACTACAACGGTATCCAACAGGGCGAGAAACATGAGCAGTCTAGATTTTGGTGAGGAAAATGTTATCAGGGAAAAAGCATCCAAGGTTTAATAAAGCAGGATTAAAGTTTAATCCAAACAGATACTACTGGGAAATAGTCACATATTGACAGATTAACTGGCTGTGTGTACACACTTAATGAGTACTAAAAAAATGAAAGAAATAGACGAAATTTTAATGTGGAAATAAGTCAGCGATTGACCCCGAACACATGGGAAAGAAATGTACATATCCACAGATATGGAACATGTAGCCACTTTTTAACAGCTCGTTTACAAGTGTGCAATAATTCAAATACTAAAATGTTGACGCCTGCGCTTCAGTTCCCACACACTAACCAATGTGTATGGGAACTGACAAAAAATTAACGCTAAAAACGTATTGTTAGCCCCCCAAGAGTCAACCGGACATTTGTCGATCAGAAAGATCATTAGTCTGCAAGATTTCATTGCAGAAAAAAAAAATAAAGTGAAAATCTATTAGGAGCTGCGCCTTGTCAAAATAAATCCAAACCTATATGACTGGACCATGTGGGAATTTAATTTGAAAGGACAGACGCAGGAAGTGTCCACGCTCAGCAGTCAGACAGGCTAGTTAATAACATGTCGGGCAGGAAATCCAAAGTGTGGGATCGTTTTGAGAAGGTGAAGGACGAACCCAAGGTGATATGTAACATGCTCGGGCATATATACTGTACATGTATAATTTTTTTAAGGTTGTGGTGTCATCCTGGAATCAAGTGCATTTGATCCATACACTGATCCATGCCTGAGTCCACTTGATAAGGTGGTCTTGAGTACAGCGTACTCCGGTAAGGTACGCATCAGGTGTGAATACTAACTGTATCTAAACACGGAAGTGGACTGCTATTTAACTCAACCACAAATAATTGCTTACCACTTACTAAACAGTCTCATTTTGATATTCATGCCTCTATATCAGACAGAAGCGCAACCTGCTGCAGACAGATCCAGATCCAGCTTTGCTGCTGTCATCGACCTGCAGTCGGAGCTCCAGCATGAAGTGGAGAGCTCTGCGCCTAACAGCTGCCACTTGCTGCTTCACCAGTGCCCTTAATGATGATTCCCAGGGCAGCAGTGTTCATCTGCGGTGCCCTTTTCTACACTGTAGCACAACAAAAATGTCACACAGTGTACTCAGGCAGGGAACGACATTACCAATGTCAAAACTGAGCAGCGGGGGAGTGAAGAAAAGGGCCAATTACATGATACGCACGATACAAATCAATTGTAGCTAACATGAAAACACCTTCAGTCGCAGACAAAGAGGACTCCAGATTTTATTTCAAGACCATGACTGCGAAAATACCACTAAACTAGCTGAGCAAAAACAGAGTGTTGAATAAAGATGGTTATGTTGATCTCAGTTCCTTAGTGTTTGGATTTGTTTGCTATTAAAATAAAATTCACCTCTGCAATGCCTTTTGATTATTTTATAGACATTTTTCGTGGTACACTGATACACACACACATACAGTATGTACATGTGGCAATAAAAGAGGTGAATGAAGAGGAATTCAATTCATTCATATTCTCTGTGAATGTTTTATGTGAATGTGGATCCATCAGATCAATGTGAGGAGTGGCTCTGGTTTCCATGTTCCACATTTTATTATAAGTGTGTCATGCAGTGTGGGACCCGCACTGGTCTGGTCTTGGTCTTGACTCAGTCCTGATACAATGTGGTCTTGGTCATGACTCAGCTCAGGTGGTCTTGGCTTCAACAGGGGCTGAAGTTCATCCACACTTCCTCATTTAATAGGCCGTGCTAGAGGCTTAATGACAGGGGACCACTCACAGGGCTGGTTGGTGAATTAGTGAACACACTAGTGAGCCAGGAACATGATAGCCAGTCATAATCGCTCTCTGAGCTAACATTCATCACTGCTTACAGAACATCAGCAGGGATAAAGACTTCCTTTCAGATTCATCAGCCTCATTCCAAACTACCCACATCTCCTGTATGGACTCATGTCAAACTCCCTGATTTTGGAGGGGGGGTGATCTTTTGCAACAATATTTCTCTCTTCTCTAAGTCCTCGCTGTTTTCCACTACGCCCTCTGTTCCTCCCGACAAGGCTGCAAATCAAACTGTTTTCATCCAGCAGACCATTTAAAGTTTCTGCCAATGCGCTTTCGCAGCAGAAGCCCGAAACTCTTGGGTGGGTTCTCCCGACCAAACATTTTCACATCTCATTTTATTTAATGGCCTTAACAGAAATTAAATTGGAAATGTAAAGCCTTCCCTCCTCTCCACATTGTAAATCTGTCCGCTTTGGCACTGCAGCAGTAAAAAAATCCAAATGTTTCCCCACCCTTCATCCTTCACAGCATCTGCCAGATGTAAAATGTGAGGTCTCTTGTCTCCCACAGGCTCCATAATGCTGCGTGGTTCTTCGAGATGATCATCATGCTGCCTTTAAGAGTCTCTCATAAATATCTAATCCTGTGACTGAGAGTTGTAAAGAACTCTACAGCTGAGAAGTACAACATGATGGACCCTACGAGAGAATTTTATTTAGTGGCAGTTGTTTGACATTAAAGCAGCACAGAGCTCCTGCAGTGATTATAACATACCACATGATCAGGGCCCTGGATATTAGACATATAAACCCCTTTCAACAGTCATGGGCTGGCTTAGCTTGGTTTGGTTTGGACCATCAGCACAGCACAGCAGGGATTTGCATTTCCATTACAGCAGGGCTACCTGCTTGAAGGTGCGTCTTTGACCGATGGTGACTTGTTTTGAGTGATGATGTTTAAAAGCAGCAGGCTGAATGTTCCCTGTTATTTTTATTGCATGTGTTTTCCCTAGGTAAAAGAAGTTTACCTGTTGGAGGTGAGCTGTTCGCAGAGGTGCAGTAAGAGCCTGTTGTCTGCAGCTCTTCATCAACATCTCACTGTGGCTGTTTGTGCTTTTACTCTTCCTCACTGTGATATTATTAGACTTGTCTTTATTGAAGAAAAGCCGCTAAAAAAGTTCTGCTAATTCAGTGATAAACACATTTAATTTCCTGTAGATTCTTTCCTCTGTTATTTTGTTCTGTAAAATCTTTTATTGTGAAGCAGCAAAATAAGAAAATGTTGAGTTTTCGAGCAGCAACTTCACACAACTTCTAATACTGCTGATAGAAACAATGAAACAGTAAATTAAAGCAAATAAAGTAAAAACAGGACGCAGGAGAGAAACTAAACTCCAAACCACAGAGATTCAGTCAGAAGCTACAGACGTACTGACAGCTGAACACACAGAGACTTTTAAAAACACCTTTCTCTCTGGTCTCCTTCAGACAGAGCTGAGTCGAATCATGCAACACACATGGCTTGTTTGAGGGAGAGAGGGGGAGTTGTCTGGGGCTGGCTGCAGTCAGCGACACGTCACTGCTACCCGCTTGAGGACGAGCAGTCCAGCTTTTTGACCTACTCCAAAAAAGGTCAAATTCTATCACTGTTTCGCTTGGCACGAAACATCTTAATGATAATGGCAATGCAACTCAGTGCATTGCCATTATCATTAAGATAATGATAATGGCAATGCAACTCAGTGCACTTCTACGTCAAGTACTACATGGTTGGGAAGCAGAAGCACTGAGATGTTTCAGTAGATTTCATTACAAGCAGCACTGATGACATCTTTCTTCTTAAAATGAAGCCACGCTGTGGACTGATACTTCCTCACCCCCATGACTCATTGGAAGTTTCTAGCAGAGTTGACGCATGAGTTTGACGTCACTTTCTTGTGATGCAGAGCTGTCAGAAAAACATGCCAGCATCAATAAAAGGAATTGATAACCTTGGAGGAAAACGACTGCTATGGATTGGACAATTTGGACCTGGTTCTCGGCTGGTTCTGGTTTCCCACCCCTATTGAGAAAGTTGTATTGTTCTGTTCAATAAGGAAAATAGGTGGAGGAATATTTCCGTTCTTGATGGTGACATCAGTGCTTAAACACATCAGCAGCAGCTTGTTATCTTTTCTTTCTTTCTTTTTTTTAATACAAATACCTTCATATTCAGGATGGACGATAATATCAGCATGTCATGGGTATTGGCTGATATTTAAATTAGAAGAGTCAGTCAGAATCAGCCAACGTGCTTTTCTTATTTTACACAATTAATGAGTATTGCATACAATGAAAAGTATTGTATTTCATGTCTGCATCTGCTGCTGGGCCATCATGATAAGAGTATGCATGTATAATATGATGTTAATTTCACTACAGAAGAGACTTGATGATCACTAAAATTAGGTGGGAAAAAGTGGATATATTGATATAGGTATCGATTATCGGGCAAATAAGTTATTACATATCAGCATATCAGATATCGGCAAATATCCAATTTCCTGCATCCCTACTTCATATAACATGTCAGGAAGGTATAAACGTATGAAAAAATAGATACCATCCACGCCTGGACCATATCTGAGAAATATCAGGGACTGAAAACACGACATCAGTGAAATTAAGAACTGCTGAGGCTGAACAAGAGGCTGAATGAACTCCAGAAACAGAAAAGTTCAGCTGTCTGTGAGCACCAGACCAAAACCACTCACAGCATCTACTGGGTAAAGAGGTCAAAGGTCAGTGACGAGGAGGACGTTCACATTTTATACCAAGAATATTTTAAATCGTTGCCAAGTCTTTCCTGACAGAGACTGATTGTTACGATCGGGCTGTTGGACACTGATAATTAAACATTTCAGCCACACAAATTCCTCCATTAACTGTCATCAAGTCACCGGAATATTTTCACACCCACTGAGGGTTTGGATTATTTTCAAATCTGTGGGTTAGGAATTTTCTGCTTGCTTTGGGACGATGATACATTCTCTGA